ATTATGAGATAATCACAAAATTTACTCCTGTCCCAATTAATTTGCACACTAATGTATAGTGGTTTTAAATATAAAAAAATATGAAGAAAAACCTGGGAGTGTTAAGTCCTAACCAAATTAAAACTGAGTTATCTCTTTTGAGCTGCCACCATTTGTTATGGGGGTTCGTGAGGAGATATTGGAGTAAGGAATACACATGTTGGATTGTCTTGGAGGTATATGTATAATTAAGAGAGTCATGAGGAGAAACCCAGGCCTGCCTGTCGAGTCTAAGCCTAGCGATGAACTGAGGTGGAGGCCTCTAGTTGGCGGCACACATGAGTGGGACTTGTTATTTCACAGAAAAAGGGAGCCTATCTATAAAGTAGCTGGGATTATCTAAGTATACTACACAGTACACAGTAACACTACTGACAATTGCTCTACCACTGAGCTACAGGTCACATGGTACACCTCATACTGTGCATTTCTTTTTTTCACAGTTTCCCACCAAGATAAGGTGACCAGAGAAAGAAACAACAGCATTCATTCCATCACTGTACATCTTCTTCTTTCTTTCAACACACCGGCCATATCCCACCAAGGTGGGGTGGCTCAAATGGAAAAACGAAAGTTTCTCCTTTCAAATTTAGTAATATATACAGGAGAAAGGGTTACTAGCCCCTTGCTCCCGGCATTTTAGTTGCCTCTTACAACACGCATGGCTTACGGAGGAAGAATTCTGTTCCACTTCCCCATGGAGATAAGAGGAAATAAACAAGAACAAGAACTAGAAAGAAAATAGCAGAAAACCCAGAGGGGTATGTATATGTGTGCTTGTACATGTATGTGTAGTGTGACCTAAGTGTAAGTAGAAGTAGCAAGACATACCTGAAATCTTGCATGTTTATGAGAGAGACAAAAGACACCAGCAATCCTACCATCATGTAAAACAATTACAGGCTTTTGTTTTACACTCACTTGGCAGGACAGTAGTACCTCCCTGGGTGGTTGCTGTCTACCAACCTACTACTACTGTACATGTAAGCTAATATTTCATGCCCCCAGAGCCAAATAGGTTATGTACTGAGACAGTAAAAGCAGTCAATTTAATCTTAGGCTTTATTGGTATAGTGGGTCATTCAAGTTTCTATCTGAAAAATTTGTTTTATGTATTTCCATACTAGTTAGAAGGAAATGGTATAAAACACCGACACAATGGATAAAAACACAGATGCAGTATAATGCGGTCCTTTATTGACAACGTTTCACACCCACAGTGAGCTTTATCAAGTCACAAATATCTGTTTGTGATAGGATAAAACGTTTGTAGGGAAAACGTCGTCAGTAAACACATTACAATCACATTACACTGCATCCACACGAGTTGATGGTGTGTTCTATTCTAGATTATTATGTACAGTTTTGGCCATACATGTTTAAGACAGGTTGACAAATTGAAGGGTGTCTAACACTGTATATTTATTATTATCAGGGGGGAGCTCTAAACCCGTAGGGATTATGCAGCTCCTGTGGGGGGGAGGGCATTCAGGCTTAATTCAGGGGAGTAGAGCACAGATCCAATTCCCTAGATCATGAGCCCTTCAACAGCATCAAGGAACCTACCTTGAGGGGATTAACACTGAGTAAATGATTTACAGAAACCAATACGTAAATGATTTACAAAAACCAACATGTAAATTATTTACAAAAAACCAACATGTAAATGATTTACAAAAACCAACACATGAATGATTTACAAAAACCAACTCGCAAATGATTTGGAAAAGCAACAAGTTGAGTTCAACATTTGGGAACCATTATTGTGGAAATATTATGCCAACCAATAGCTTCTTCAGTCCAATACAGAGAAGAATGATGGAAGATAAGAAGTAGTTTAAGGTAATCAGTCCCTCTGCCTGGAGTCAGTGTTATCAGTCCACTAATCTCAAGATTGATGGACTTACCACAATTACTCCAGGATGAGGGATTGATTACCTCAAACTACTACTCATTTTTCTACTATTCTTCTCTTTACTGGACTGAAAAGGCCACTGGCTTCTTCAGTCTCATTCTCAAAATAATATGAAACCTATTAGCATAGGTCAATTTATTTAACCTTACATTGGAATTATTATTATTATTAAAGATTAGCCGGTATTCTCCCGGCCCGGGCCTTTTCCAAGTGGTGGCCCGGCCTTGGCTCCCTCTTTAGGGAGTGTCTGAGACCTAAGTCTCCCATGGGAGGAGGGGCAAGGACCTCCTCATCTTTGGGACCAACTGTCCCCAGGCCTAGCCTCAAGCTAGGCCTCTCTGGTCTGCCATCCCCGCCCCAAGGGGGCAAATGGGAATGACAGTCTTATTGGAAACAGAACCATTACTTAAAACGTATATACAGTGGTACCTCAAATTTCGAACAGTTCCCAACTCGAATAATTATGTAAGTGTATTTTTGTAAGTGCTTTTCTAAGTGCATTTTTGGGGGTCTGGAATGGACTAACCTAATGATTGATACTATGTATACATATTTTTTTTTTAGCGCACCAGTCATCTCCCATCAAGGCAGGTGGACCAAAAAAGAAGAAACAATAGTTTTTCTTCTTTTTATATTTTGCAATTTATACATAAGGGGACACTTGATACTATATATATATGAAGTACATTTAAAAAATTAGCTAAAAAAAATATTTTTTTAAAACTCTGTTTGGGCTTATAGGCCTATGACTTTTGATTTCTTGTAAAATTCTTCATGAGAGTAGGAGCTATTGCCCTATGACTATTATACAAAAGAATCCCAGTATCCACTGATTCGGTATCTGCGGTTTCAGTTATCCGCAGTTTACTGTGGCTCAAAAGTACCTCTTAATTTTGCATAATAACGGCCCCAAAGTACAAAAGTAGAGAAGCTGACAGTTCTTCAGAGCCTAAGAGAAGTTGTGAAGTGTTTCCCATCAGTGAAAAAGTGGTAATTCTCCGCTTAATTTATCAGTTAAACTTTATAATAGGTATGTATAGGACATAGGACATATACAGTGGACCCCCGCATAACGATCACCTCCGAATGCGACCAATTATGTAAGTGTATTTATGTAAGTGCGTTTGTATGTGTATGTTTGGGGGTCTGAAATGGACTAATCTACTTCACAATATTCCTTATGGGAACAAATTCGGTCAGTACTGGCACCTGAACATACTTCTGGAATGAAAAAATATCGTTAACCGGGGGTCCACTGTATACGTATATAGGGTTTGCTACTATCCATGGTTTCAGTGTCCACAGCAGGTCCTTGGAACATGTTCCCTGCGGATACGGCGTTCCTACTGTATTTATCAGCCTAAGAAGTAGACGTTATGTTTATTACTTAACCCTTAAATGGCCCAAATGTATATATACGTTTTTTCAACATCTGAAAGTATGTAAAAAAATGTAGATCTTCTTTTTTGTTTTACATTTGAAAATGTGTAAAAAAACTTTTATCTACATTTTTTTTTGTTATATTTGAAAATATGTAAAAAAAAAGTAGATCTACTTTTGTAGCTACGAATTTGAACGTCGATTTGTTTGGACTGTTTAAGGGTTAATTGTGAATTGTTTACAAGTCTGTGCTGTATTTCTATTGAAACATGAGCTAGGTGGGGTGTAATACTTAATCATTGACACTAGGATTATATTCATAATAATAATATCTTTGTTTCTACAAGTACAAGTACGTACAAGGTATACAGACCATAGCTGACATCAATGACATTCTACTATATAGAAAGCCCCTTGTTATGCTGAGTATTTCCTGCAAATTAGGTCAGTTTTGTCCCAGGATGTGATCCACACCAGTCCACTAACACCCAGGATGTGACCCACACCAGTCTACTAACACCCAGGATGTGACCCACACCAGTCTACTAACACCCAGGATGTGACCCACACCAGTCTACTAACACCCAGGATGTGACCCACACCAGTCCACTAACACCCAGGTACCCATTTTATACTGATGGGTGAACATGGACAGCAGGTTCTAAAGATATCCAGCCGTACCGGAGATGCGAACCCCAGACTTCAGTACGTGAGCTAAGTGTGCTAGCGATTGAGCTACAGGACACCCAACTCTATTGTTAGTATTACATCCATGAGAGAATGCTAAATCTGAAGGGGGTCATACAGAGCTTGAGGGGGAGGGAATGGGAAAGAGGTATTCAGGTTTGATCTAAGGAGTGGCGCACACAGATCCGGTTCAGTAGATCAATAATCCCTCACTCATCTCTGGAAATATTTGCTGGGATTTCTTGCTCATAGCAGTATTTGCTAAAATTTGTTGCTCTAAGCCGTATTTGCTAAGAGATTTCATTCTGAGCAGTATTTGTTAAGATTTCTCACTCTAAGCAATATTTGCTGAGTTATCTCACTCTAAGCAATATTTACTGAGATTTCTCACTCTAAGCAATATTTGCTGAGATTTCTCACTCTAAGCAATATTTGCTGAGATTTCTCACTCTAAGCAATACTTGGTGAGAGAGTTCTTGCTGTAAGCAATATATACTGAATCGTCCACTGTGATGCTGGAGTAGCATCTGCAGCTTGTATACTGGTAGACCAAATTTATTACACATTAGATGATATCTTGGTACTTTGTTGTAGGTACCTAATTCTATTTTTTAACTCTGTTTTTAATGGTAACAGATATTTGCTGCACTTTACATGGACTGAAGTACAGTTTGGCCACAGATGCACAAGGCTATCAGAAGTTATTCATTGTATTGGTCTACAAATTTTTAACATTTTTGTGCTTTGGAGAAAAAAAGTACAGTGAACCCCCGCATAACGATCAGCTCCCAACGCGACCAATTATGTAAGTGTATTTTTGTAACTGCTTTTGTAGGTGTATTTTTGGGGGTCTGAAACGGACTAATCTACTTCACAATATCTCTTACGGGAAAAAATTCAGTCTATAACGGCACCCAAATAGACTTCTGGATTGAAATAATATCGTTATGCGGGGGTCCACTGTATTTTGCTTTAGGGCTTTTGGGGTGCTGAAAACGACTATGACCATAATAACAAAGAAACTTGTTTACACATTTTGTGCGTATGTATACAGGAGGCCCTCCACATTCACAAGGGTTAGGGGATCAAGAACCTCACGAATCTTGAAAATTTGTGAATGTTTGATGCGCAAATATGATGTAGGGAAATAAAATAATACTGTACACTAGCGTTTGCGAATGTTTTGATGCACAAATACAGTGGACCCCCGGCTTACGATATTATTTCATTCCAGAAGTATGTTCAGGTGCCATTACTGAACGAATTTGTTCCCATAAGGAATATTGTGAATTAGATTAGTCCATTTCAGACCCCCAAACATACACGTACAAACGCACTTACATAAATACACTTACATAATTGGTCGCATTGGGAGCTGATCGTAAAGCGGGGGTCCACTGTATATTGTCGGGAAATATAATAATAGCATTTACTTAGATTAATGGAGTCAGATTCTGCCGCGGGTTGAAGTTCAGGTGAGACGGTAAGGGTAGCGGCAGGGGTAGTGGCAGGCTTCCTTGTGAAGAACATTGTGATGGGCAACTGAGACCGTTTCCTCTTCATATCTTCAGAGTTTTGTAGGGAGTTATGCTCCTATCATTTGTCTGGTAAATATGATTGGGCAGCTGGGCATTCGCGAATGTTCGAAGCTCACGAAAATGGAACTCGTGAAAGTGGAGGGCTAGCTGTATAATACATTAGTAACATGTCTGTATAATCACTTCACTTATAGTGATTCAACCCAGTGCAGCTTCATGTCTCTTGTATTCCACTTCTGGATCATCACTTGTTATTGTTCAGCAGAAATCTGCTGACAGTGATGGACTCCATTTTCCTGGTAGCGTTTTTCCATGACCAAGATAGTCAGTCTTAACTTTACAGCCAAAACAAAGGTGATAAGCTTTCTTAGTCATGGCAGCGTTAAAGCACACTTTTGTGATGCAAAAGTCAACTACCCACAAACATAACAAAAGTTATCTCATGCAATTACAAGGCATCTTCGTCCAAATTTGGCAAAAAAAAAAAGTCAGTGTCAAAAGTTTGACAGGTGTGCACTGTATGACCTCTGGGAATGAACTAATGCAGTCCAGTTATTAGGGTGATGTAATACCTAAATTCCAAGTGAATCATCTGTTTTCTGACACTAGAGTTGCCAAAACAAACAGTGCTCAGATTAACATAAGCTACACAGTTGGTGGTCCATATAATACAAATTGTGGTCCCCCCTCCTCCAAAAAAAAAAAAAGAAATTTGAAGAAAAGTGCTATTCATGAGAAATATAGGAAACTATATATTTTTTCAACAGTTATACAGTGTGGGGTTTGAATCAAGAGCCTTTCCACTGTACAGTTTGTCTACCCTCCCTTCCCAAGTCAAGGATAATACTATGCAAGTGGCCTGAGTTCAAGACTTTATAAATAGAGCTAATTTGCAGTTTAAGGTGTCATTTCTACATTCAGTGATCCAAAATTAGTAAAGGATGATTAGTTTTAGTTCTGAAGCATTTTGGCTGTAGACCTGTGTTATTGATGTATTGGACATGTAGGGTATTTTCTAGTCTCCTCCACCTGATGGAGGTTGTGCTTGGTGTTTGTACAGTGTGACCCATTTTGGAGATGCTGATGCCTCCCTTCCTTCAGGAGATGAGTGCTTTATAAATACTTCTTAAAGCTGAACCAGTAGATGGCATTGAGGAGGGCAAAGCAAATAGGGAATAGGTAGCGAGATACTCGGTCTACCATCAGTGCTCGACCTCGACGGATTTGTGCAGGTGACGGACCTGCTGGCCTTGGTGGTTCTCCGAGCAGGAACCGTCTGCTCTCCTGTGGGCAAATTACTGGTTAAATAACAAGAAATTTAAGTACAGAACTGTATGCACTAACACTATAACAATATGTACATACATGTATATCTGTTTTCATGGGAAGTTATAAACCTGTATGGTATCATACAGTTGGGAATGGGAGGTAATCAGGTTTAATCTGAGGTAGAAAAAGGTAGTCCTGATTCCTTGGGTCAAATCTAAACACCATCATTAAAATTAAAAAACTGAATAGCACCCTAAACAAGAAATACTGTTAGCAAATGCAATAAATTCCTTGGAACAATTTTAATCATACCAAGAGACCTGGTCACAGACCGGGCAGTGGGGGCATTGACCCCCAAAACCTTCTCCAGGTATACATCCCATTTCCTAGTACTGTAGAATGCTTGTGGGTTTAGTGCATTCCCAGGAATATTCTTTTTACCCCCTTGACTGTCGCAACCCCGAATCCTGAGGTGTCTCCTGGTATCGCAAATTTAAAAAAAAAAAAAAAATTCTTATGAAATGATAGAGAATCTTTTTCCGATTGTAATGACACCAAAAAAAACGAAATTTGATGGAAAACTGACGGAATTACGCTCTCGCGAAGTTAGTGACCTCGGCAATATTTACAAATTGGCGATTTCGCCCATTTTGAGCCCTATTTTCGGCTAATTCCATTGTTCCAGTTGACCAAACTCGTAGCTATTTCTTTAGAACTCCATTTTTTCTATTGAGTGAGTACAAGAAACTGCCCATTTACCGATTTCAACTACCCAGTAATGTGGTCAGAAATTTGTAATTTGGCCAATTTCACGAAAATGAAAAAATATGACAATTTCAAAATAAGGTCCAGAATGAACAATGCAGACATTCCTGGCTCTAAAATAACATTTTCTTTGTTCATCAGTCATGTCTCCAGGCCCCTCTGATATTACTCTTGCTTTCTATTTTGAATTTTTATTCAAACAAAAAATAGAAGATTTACTGTTATGCAGACTACTGCAGTACTGTAATAATTGTACAAATAATGTCAACCCATTCATGACTGCATATTAGAATGGCTACTTGGACATTTATTGGACAATGACATCATTTGTTTACTTTTGAACATCGGCAAAAATCAAGCATTTCCCCTATTTGAGCTCCATTTCCAGGTTCTTTTTATAGTAAAACTAATCAAAATTCCCTCTATTTCTATAATATGTTTTCCATTCTATCAAATGAGACCAAGAAAACAAGAATACACCCATAAATACTGTACGAAAATAGACCACAAAGTCGGCATTTTAATTAAAAAAAAACGGTCGGAGTTTTTTTTTTCTCATTATGCACTGCGTGCTGCAGGATTTTTTTTTATATGGTGCACACTGACCACACATACCCATTGTCTCACATGTAGGCCTACCAGCTTGCTCCTGCTTGATTTGAAGCCGCTAGAATTTATGAGTTTATATACGTCAAACACGGTGGCTCGTAAGACGTATATATACGACCAAAACAGTCAAAGGGTTAAAAACACTAGCCATCTCCCACCCAGGTAGGATAACTTGAAGAGAAAACACTTTCACCATCATTCACAATATCAGTGTCTTGCCAGAGGCATAGATATGACAGTTCAGATGTCCCTCCAAACAGCAAATGTCTCTAACTCCATCTTTAAAGTGCAGGTATTGCACTTCCCCAGGAATACATGAACACTAATAAATACTACCGAGCTGTATATTGTGATACCCCATTATTCACAGGCCAAATGCTTCATGTTTTGTTTTTTCTGGGAAAAAGTGGTTGTGGAATATGACTAATGGTGAGAACAATTCACTGATCTAAATGGGAATTTCTCAAAATTGATGGAATGAATACTTTGACTCCAGGTTGAGGGACTGATTTTCTCAAACTCCTGATGCTCCACTATTCTTCTCTGTATTGGACTGAAGAAGTCAGTGGCTAGTGAAATATATCCACAATAAAGATTCCCAAATGTTGTATAACTGTCTCAATTATTCACTTGTCATTTTCCTAAATCATTCATACAAGTAATGGAGCTCTATTGTGGTATTCTGTGATATACGTACACACAAAATAACCCATTATTATTTTACATTTCCTCTAAAAGAAAAGCTGTGTCACAGCTACTGAAGAGCTTTTTATCCAAGAATTGAATGTATCCTCCTCTTCCTCAGATCAAATCTAGTTCCATACCAGACTCTATGACCCTATGAGTCAAGCACTTATCCAGGAGTTAGATAGTTATGAGTAGTAGGTTGGCAGTAAACAACCATTATGGAGGTACCATATTTTGCGGCTTATAAGATGCGGCTTATAAGATTTGTTTTAGTTTCAATGTCTCGGCATTGGATGTAACTGGGAGAGCTACAGTCCACCCCACACCCCAAACTTATAGCTCCCGTCACTGACCTTCAGTTTATAGGACGCAGGCTGGTTTTTGGTGATATTTTATGGAAAAAATGCGTCTAATAAGCCACGAAATACGGTACTACCCTACTGTCTTACAAGTGTGAAGTGGAAGCCTGTTATTGTTTGCACCCCAACAGGATTGCTGATTTTTTCTGTCTCATAAATCTGTATGATTACAGGTTTATAATGGTTTATCTTAAACTCAGCTCCCGCTTCACACACTGAGGGCCCGGGTTCGATTCCCGGCGGGTGGAAATTCCGACACTTTTCCTTACACCTATTGTCCTGTTCACCTAGCAGCAAATAGGTACCCGGGTGTTAGTTGACTGGTGTGGGTCGCATCCTGGGGGACAAGATTAAGGACCCCAATGGAAATAAGTTAGACAGTCCTCGATGACGCACTGACTTTCTTGGGTTATCCTGGGTGGCTAACCCTCCGGGGTTAAAAATCCGAACGAAATCTTATCTTCTTAACCCTTAAACGGTCCAAACAGATCTATGTTCACATGCGTAGCGCTCCAAAAGTAGATCTACGTTTTTTTTACATATTTTCAATTATAAAAATGAAAGTAGATGAAGTTTTTTTTTTGTAAAACTTTTTCAAATGTAAAAAAAAAAAAAAAAGAAATTCATTTTTTACATACTTTCAATTGTTGAAAAAACATAGATCTACATTTGGACAGTTTAAGGGTTAATAGTTCTTAATCTTGTAATTTTTCCCTTTTTCCAACCTATGAGGCCTGGTCTAAGACCAGGCCATTGGGAAAAACAGTGGACCCCCGCATAACGACTACCTCCGAATGCGACCAATTATGTAAGTGTATTTATGTAAGTGTGTTTGTACGTGTATGTTTGGGGGTCTGAAATGGACTAATCTACTTCACAATATTCCTTATGGGAATAAATTCGGTCAGTACTGGCACCTGAACATACTTATGGAGTGAAAAAATATCGTTAACCGGGGGTCCACTGTAATCCCCAAAACCACTGACAGATAACAGAGGTGCAACAAGGTGCAGTTCTTCCCTTAGCACATTTGCTTTCACCATCCAAGCTGGTTCTGCCACCACTACCTCTCCCACAACGGCTGGATGCATAAGCTTGTATCTCGGAGTTTCATTCAAGAAGATTGTCTAAACTCATGGTCATCGTGATGTCTACAATAGGCATATCCTCGGGTGTTATTCTTTTTACCCCTATGTCTTACCTTTATTGCAAGGTCAGTGGCTTTGCTGGGTTTGGGTTCTGGCTTGGAGGGCCCCTTGGCAGTTTCACCAGATCCATCCCCCAGGATTATGTTCACCACCGCATACTCAATGAGCGCCATGAACACAAACCTGCCAGCATAGGAGGAGTAAATAGTAGTTTATATATTAAATCTAATGACCAAATGGACTATTGTCTTACTGATCATCAGTTAATTTTAAGTTAGCCCGAAATGCTCTGCACACAAAGGGGCTTTTCGCATGTACACCTAACTATTATATTCCTTTGTACAACCATGCATCATGTCAAAATATACTATGTATTTGTATTATTTTTATAAAGGTGGCTGTATATGCATAATGCCAACTAAATGATGTTAAACTTCTGAACAGTAGGGCATGAAAGCCCTGGCAAGCTAATCCTAAAACTAACAAGTCATTGTGCTCCCCATTGCTGGTTTTAGGACTGGTTAGCTATGGGACTGACTCACAGTTTGTTTAGCAAGTTCTTGCAATCACGTTATAATTTTACGAGTCAGTGTGATATTAAGATAGTGTGCTGAAGAAGCTTTTATACGACCAACATTTTGTTCAAGGTAGAGTTGTATTGTGCCTTGATAGAGCTCTACACTAAACAGAGCTATGCCTTAACAAAAGCTTTTCTTGCATGCTTATTTATACCCAGATAGATAGATAGATTAGATTTTGCCACCGAAGTGGCTAGTTTATTGTGCACCCCATATCCATCCTGTGGACGGTAGCGCGAGAGCATATGGATACACAAAAGGCCTAGGAACTAGGCCCCAAAGGGTTAACAGGAATACATATGGATTTATATCTACATATCTATAGTTCACTTATCTGTTACAGGCAAATTTAGGAAATTTGCTTAGTATATCTGGTATCTTATTTTCATTAATAAGATATCTTGACATGTCACATAGGTTATTATATTGTTGTCTCTGTATTCCTCAATAAGGTGGACAATTAAGCCATAGTGTTCAAGAGAGTGACCATATCCCCTGTCACATAATTTACATTTAGTTTGATCATCATCTGTGTGTCTCCCAAACTGCCAGAAGTATTGTAACCAAGCCTAAGCCTGGCACTACAACATCAGTCAGTCTTTTCACATTGCACGTTGCTCCATAAAACATATTTATCTACGTTCATGTTATCATAGTGGGTTATAGATCTACTCAGACTTCTAACTGCATTCCTATAACAATCTTTTTTATTATTTACTTCTCTCCTAATATTATTCCTAATGCTAGACACAGTTATACCAAAGTTATATTCTACATTCTCCTTCTGGGCACTCTTCTTGGCTAACATATCAATTTTAAATCATGAAGGAGTAATCCAATGTGTGATGGGATCATAGCAATTGTACATTAATTCCTTTGTCCCTAATTTTTGAGTATCTTACTGGCTTCCCCAATGAGCATGTTGTTGGAGTCATTATATGAGTAAAAGAGCCTTCAATGATGACATAGAATCAGTAATGATGATGATTTCAAGCTCAGTGTCATAGGTTAGCTTTAGCGCATTAGGATTGCAAACAATTCAGTTTGCAGTGTAGACGCCCAGTTGTTAATTCTTATGCCTAACTCAACAAATTTATTATTGTTCTTAACTAGGGGGTGGCAAAAAGAGCAGATGTACCCCTGCCAGAAGACTCCTGTTTAGATCCATCAGTGTATATAACTTGTGATAACTTATTACTATCAGCTGGGTGAGAATTTCTTCTTGAGCAGTTGCTCAAAACAAGAGATTTAAGGAAGGGATTTACTAGCAATGAGCTTCTTGGGGGGGACTTGTAGGTATGTGATTATTAAATGAACACATCTTCCATGGAGGGGTGAAATGCTCTTGTTCCCTACAGTGATACAGTTCATGTAGGTTATAAAACTTAATGCAATTGCACTTTTTTCACAATCCATTTAGATCTGTGTGTATTTACCTCTAGACACTTGGTAAGATTCACTGTGACAGTGTCTGGTTCGTTTTCAACATTCTAATACCGAGTACAGTGTTAATTTCAACAATCCTATCACTGATACTAGAAATCCCAAGCTCCTTCCTCATGTTAAGAACTTTTGTAGATCTGGGACAGCCAAGAAAAATCCGAGAGCTTCATTTTGCATTAACTCCAAGGGTCGGAGAGAACTTTCTCTAGCTAATATAAAACATGGGGGGCAGCATAATCAATTAAGGACCTAACTTTTACGCTATGTACATCATTCTCACACGATTTCTCGCATTAGCACCATTAGCACCATAGCTTTGCATTTCTTGTTTAGTTGGGGTTTATAGTGGATTTGTAAAGGGTACATCTACACCAAGATATCTTTTAAGTTTTAACGTAGTAATGATTTCCCCCTGCAAATACTAGATGGGTGGGGGATGTCGTTTGCTTGTTAATATCTTTGTTTTAGAGGAAGATATTATGAGGCCTAGCGATTACAAATTGCTTGAACTTCATTAAGAATGGTATTCATTTCTTATGCCCTGTTGTATGGATCATGATATCATCAGCATAGCTTATAGCTATATGTTTAGGTGAGGCAGGTAGAGCATTTAGGAGGCATTAATCAGAATATTAAATAGCATGGGACTAAGAACTCCTCCCTGGGGTTTGTCCCTAAAGACATTTCTTTTAGAATCACTTCTGAACCCTTGGGTTTAAAGGGACAGAGGATATTCTATTTGACAGGTATCCTATTATCCAGCAGAGTAAGTACCCCCAATATTCTTTTTGGCTAGTTCATGTAGTATAACGGTTCTTTTTCGCAATATCAAATGCAGATTTTAATCAAGAAAAAGTGGTTTTAAAACTAGTAGAGGGTGTGTGCAGTGAGAAAGGTGGAAATACAGTTCTGCACACTTTTACCTTTCATGAACCCATAGAGGTAGGGGAAAGTTGATGTCTGATTCTGTAGTACAGTCTTTTAAAGCATCATTCTTTCAAAGTTTTAAAAAGACAACTAGTTAAGGAGATGGGCCCTAAATGTATCAGGCTGTTGGGCTTGGGATAGGCACAATGAGACTATTGGTCCAGGAAGTAGGAAGAACGCCCTCAATGTAACTGAGATTAAAACAGTCCCAAACAAAGGGGTTATCAGGCACGTGCCTTAGAGTTCTGAGAATATCATAGGTTATACCACCCTCTCCAGGAGCAGTTGATTGCCCTTTGGTTATGCATTATCTAATTCATACTCGGTTTAAAGAGGCAATCACTCTCATCAATATTTTGGCTCATAAAATTAATCAGTTTTAAACATTTCTTCAGAAGTACTTTTCTAAATTTTTTCTAATATGAGAGGGAAAGGCTTTCATGCCTGGATGTTTTGGACAGTCATTTATGAGGTCATTTGCTTTTTCAAGAGGAAAAGGGATAAGCAACATTGCCAGTCTTTTTCCTGGTTATTTTATTTTCCCTTTCCAAGCCAAACTCAAAGGGGTGGGCCCTATTTAATCCACTAACAAACTTTTTCCCATTCCTGTTGCCTAAGTTCTTCCTTTCTATTCCTTGCATTTGTTAGTGCAGCTTGGAACGTTCTGAGCAGGTCTGGGGTTCTACATTCACGGTATGCTTTACCAATCCTCCTAGCTGCATTTTGTTAGATTGCGTAGCTGTGGATCATTATAGTTTTTTACATTGGTTTTTTTTTGTTTTTTTATAGTGGGGGGTTCATTTTTTTCCTATTCCTGCCCCTTGATCTGTGAGAACACTCTCATAGTTGTAATTAATCTTTCATTAAATTTTTGTGTGCCAATGGGCTCGTAATTTTATACCATTGATCCAAGTGGTTAATAAAGTTGTCTCTGTGTTCGGGGTTTGAGAATAAGTTTCCTCCTTCTGTATTTAGCTCCTTGATTGCTGGAGATGTGATCAAGATTTGAAAAGTTGTTAGTCTTGGGAAGTGATCAGATAGAAGATCATCAACTATGACAGAGTCATGCATCGTATATGATGTATTAAATCCAAGACACAGATCTAGTTGCCACCATATATGTGAGTAGGCTCAGTAGTGCCACCCAAATTCGAACATTATCATGCTCATTTAGCAATCTCACTAGTTTTAGTTCCATTGGTGTTTGTTATAGACCCACCAAATATTCTTATGTCTGGCATTAAAAAACTCCAAGAATGATGGTAGGTTCACTACTGATGCGATCTGGTAAAGCATCAGGTCGAAGCTGGTTCGCTGGGGCATAGAGATTAAAAATGTTTATGGAAAAATCGCCCCGCATATACTTTGACACCATGATACTGCATGTTAAAATCGACTCTGCAAGGAAAGGAGTGAATGTGGCAAGTTCTTTCTGACATACATCACACAACAGTTGGTTGACCCTTTGGTTATAAACTGCATATCCAGGCAAGTTTGGTGGAGGTGCTCCATCTTTCAATCTACATTCCTGCAAACAGATGACATCAATATTCTTGGTTGCACTAATATGATGTAAGTCAGGCAACCGCTTCCTGATGGAAGCAATGTTCCATGAAAAGATTTGTAATGTATCCATTGTAGTGAGTTATTACAATCTCTTGCTCATAAGATGGTAAAACTATTATGCTTTGACTACAGTGTGCAGAACTTAAGAGCAAATAGCATAGTTTGTACGTCTTTATCTTCAGGACCTTTATTTTTAAGCATTTTTTTTCGGCATCTTTGGCAGCCAGTTAAAAGGCAAGTCTTGAAGGCAAGTGTCATGGGCTTCTTTCTCACAAATTGCTGGAAACTGAATGGGGGTTGCTGCACTTTTGACATCATCACCAGTCAAGAGATCATCCGATTACATATATTTTTTAAATTGTCAGGGTCTGTTCAAGATGCTCAATTTTTTTCTGGAAATTTGTTATAATATGAGGAAGGTCAGGCGAATCCAATGCCTCTCCGGAGGATGGCACTTCTGGGTTAGTGCTTTCTTTAACACCTATCACCTTAACAGGTACCATGGTTACATTAGTGTTCTCTGTTTCGTCATTCATTGCAGGTAGGTCCTGTGCATTTGACTCCTCTCCAATTTCCAGGGGGGTTACCTGTGTGGTGTCCGTCTGACTGTTGTAGTTGCGTGTATTGGGAGAAATGACAAACTCATCCCAATATTCAGGTGTAGCCATAGGTATCTGTAGTGGCAGACCAGTAGTTCCACGTGTGCTAGCAGGGATGGCTAGCTCCTCCACAGCTCGTGTGTGTGATGACATTCTGATATCACCAGAATCCTTTGCAGTGAGGTGGGGTTCTTGCACACTTTGCAGATCTTCAGTTTTAGATCTGGCTGTGGTAGAAATGGATGGCCTCATCCTCAGTTACATTAAAGGGCTGTTATCAGTTTAAATCGAAGGTTGTTTGGGGTTCTGACTGCAGTCCGTGTGGGAAACTGTAACCCAACTTCTTTACAGTTAATACACTTAAATTTTTGGCTGTCAGGGCCTACTGTGCATTCTCTAGTGGAATGTTTCCAGCACACTTACCACACCAAGAATGTAGTATTCCACAGTCTACTGCAACATGGCCATAGTGCTGGCATTTTTTAACACCTACGTTTAGGGGGTAGGTTAACTTCGATGTTTAGGAAAGTAAACCATGCACCCAGATTTTTTCCGGGGGAGGGGCACAGGACCCACCCAATGGCAATAATTTGGGATTTTCCTTAAGTCTTTTAGGCTTGTGATATGCTCACTGAGAGTCAGATGGGATGGGTCCATGTAGAGAGGGTATCCAAAGATTATGATAAATGACCCATTTTTTAAAGTGGTGAGTGTTTTGATGGAGGTCGGAGCAGCTTAATATCCCCATAAGGTGTACTAAGTAGATCATTGATCAGTTCTGCATTCTGTTCCACAAACAAAAAGTTGTGTGTGTTTTTTTCCTAAATTGGATCCCTTGAGTTAGGTGTTTGTTTTTCAGCTTCCTTTAGCATGCACACTTAGCAGGCAGCGGGGTGTTGTCATGCACACTTTGCAGGCAGCGGGTGTTGTCATGCACACTTAGCAGGCAGCGGGGTGTTGTCACATGCACACTTAGCAGGGCAGTGGGGTGTTGTCAGGGAAGTTCAGCTTAACACATTCTTCCTTTGAAGAAAGACTTCTTGCAGCCTTTGTGCACCAAGGACGTTTAGTATCACATTGTGTACGAGTCAAGTGAGTCTGACTAAGTCGACGCTCTAGTCTTTCTCACTTTTTTTCTTTTGTTTACTTTTAAAGGTCTGGAAGCTATCATCATTTCCATCACCTGCAGAAATAGGTTCCTCTATGACAGTTGCCATGTTTGCCAGTGATGATATCTGGTGTAAGACTCACAAACAAGAATTCCTCGCTTTTTCTTTCCCTTATAGCTTATGCAAGAGCAAATATTCACTACAAGTCAGAAGTCCAAAATAGATCACAAGACACAAGTGCTCAAGTTCAATGAACACCTCTAACCGTACTCAACCCAGACCACCACCACTCAATACGACACACACCCCACCAAAAACACACTCTTGTATGTGTAGTAATAATATGGTACATATAATGTATTTAATGGATGGTACAGGCGAGGTCTTACACCTTATCCAAATTACAAAGATGAAGAGAGAGAGAGAGAGAGAGAGAGAGAGAGAGAGAGACAAATAGGTAATATTGAGCTTTAAAAATTTGAATTCTGACATACATCACATTAAACAAGAGGTTCAAATTCAATGATAACTTCCACTTGAGATAGTTTTAGGCTACTGCCACCTAATGTACCTCACTGAAATAATAATATAGCAGACATCACAATGAATGCTGAAGACAACCTCTTACCCCAACCATACATTGTAAACAGTATTACTAAAAAAAAAAAAAAAAAAAAAAAAAAAATAGGTAATGTTACAAAGACAATGAGATAAATCACTCACCCCGAGATGATAAGGTGCACATTTTAACTTGTTAACTAACATGTACCTTGAAGATGGGTGCTTGATGCTGAAGGGCTCTTGATCCAAGGAATTGAAACTTCCCTCCCTTATATCAATCTTGATTACCTCAGATTTTCCCCCGACAGTAAATTACATAAGTGCTTCCCTGCTAATATAATTTTCTTTTTAACACATCAGTCATCTTCCACTAAGGTAGAAGAGAAACTTACACCATCATTCATTCAATCACTGTCTTGTCAGAAGTGTTAACATTACAATTCAGATGTCCTTCCAAACTGCTGCATCCCCATCCCTCCTTCAGAATAAAGCCACTTTACTTCCCACCTTCAGGATTCAAGTCTGGCCCTCTGGTTTTGTAAAGTAAAAGGACACAAGTGCAACTAATGTGACATTTTATTGTCACATTAGTTGCACTTGTGTCCTTTTACTTTACATTTTATTTTATTTTATTATCACACTGGCCGATTCCCACCAAGGCAGGGTGGCCCGAAAAAGAAAAACTTTCACCATCATTCACTCCATCACTGTCTTGCCAGAAGGGTGCTTTACACTACAGTTTTTAAACTGCAACATTACACCCTCCTTCAGAGTGCAGGCACTGTACTTCCCATCTCCAGGACTCAAGTCCGGCCTGCCGGTTTCCCTGAACCCCTTCATAAATGTTACTATGCTCACACTCCAACAGCACGTCAAGTATTAAAAACCATTTGTCTCCATTCACTCCTATCAAACACGCTCATGCATACCTGCATATTGTCGGTAATTCTACCAACATTATTACCCTCTGGTTTTCCCTGAATCCCTTCATAAATGTTACCTTGCTCTCATTCCAACAACATGTCACATACAGCCTCTCCTCACTTAACGTGGAGTTCCTTCCATTCCTAAGACCACGTCGGTAAATGAATTTGTCGCTAAGTGAGGAGCATACTATAATGGTAGTGGGTTTGTGTCAACCATCTTTGATATTGTTTTAATGTTACCTTTGTACCATTTATAACATTTCTGGTATATTTTTAAATGTTTATACAGTAATATACTATATATTGTAATAAACAGAATAGAGGAAATCAGCTCTAATATACATTATTTAGGTATGTCAGAGAGCCCGTCATAAGTTCAAGTCGTCGGTAAGCAAGTACGTCGCTAAGTGAGGAGAGGCTTGTACACAGATACACAAATAACTCATACATAGGAGAGAGGAGCTTACAACGATGTTTCAATCCAACTCATCTCAATGAATTAAAGAAGCTGGATGTCTGTGCACTGAGTCAAGAAGTTAATAGGGGTTAGGGAAACTGAAGTGGGAAAAGTTAAAGGAATTAAGTGGAATTTGAAAGCAGGACCATATGTAGTAGAAGATTAAAGTTAATGGATAAATTTAAAAACAGAAAAGAGGTAAATGGAAGAATGGATAAGGTAAGGTTAGCACCATTTTTGGAAAGAGAGAGAAATAAGGTAAGAAAATGTAGGAAGTAGATTGATTTAATCTGTTAAGAATGAAAGTGGTTAGGTGCTAGATGTGCCAGATGAGGAGGAAAAGATTTTCGAGAGATGGTAAAATATTCTGAAAAAACTTTTTAAACGATGATGGAATAAGGTTCTGAGAGGTAGGGATATACTGATCTGGCAGGCATGCGTTAATATGATGGAGTGGAGTGAGTTGAAGCAAGTGTATTTTGCAATTTGACATGTTGGAGTGTAAGTATGATGCTAGCTATAACATTATTCAGGAAAACAAATTCTGATAATTTCAAAACTCAGATTCTTTCTCGTTTTGGAGCAATTCTGAATATGGTACAGTAAGAGAATTTGAAATTAAGAGAATTTGTTACTTTTTTTTTTTTTGTAAATTAACAGCTGTCTCCCACCAAGGCAGGGTGACCCAAAGAAGAAAGTATAATAATTTTCTTCTTTAGCTTTTCAATGTTATAACTGAATACAAAAGAAGGGGGTTACTGATCCCTTGCTTCTGGCATTTTAGTCATCGGTTATCTGGGAAGAATTCTATAGCTCACTATTCCTGTGGGATAATAAGTCATTAAATTCCTGCAGTTTGCCAAATAAAATTATGGATACTGAATAACGTAATGTATACCATATACACTATCAGAAAATACAGACAACTTCCAGTAGATAGATGATATACCAACACAATGGAAAATAGACAGAAATGCAGTATAATGTGATCTTTTATTGACTAACATAGTCAGTTAACCCTTAAACGGTCCAAACGTATATATACGTTTTTTCAACATCTGAAAGTATGTAAAAAAATGTAGATCTTCCTTTTTGTTTTACATTTGAAAATGTGTAAAAAAAACTTTTATCTACATTTTTTTTTGTTAGGTTAGGTTAGGTAAGGTTCGTCAGGAAACAGGACAAATGTTTCCTGACGCGGGTCTTAGTCACATGATGACCCGCCTTTGGAGATTTTGGTCATCTGACCGAGGCCTTCCGCTGGCTTACCGGTCCACCCCTTTAAAAATTATGGTCATTTATAACCATTGTTAGTATATTTTTTTTTTGTTATATTTGGAAATATGTAAAAAAAACTAGATCTACTTTTGTAGCTACGAATTTGAACGTCGATCTGTTTGGACCGTTTAAGGTTTAAGGATCACATTATAGTACTGCATTTATATGTATTTTTCCATAACTTCCAGTAACGAAGAAGTGACCATGAACTCACACTGTGCAGAACGACATGAATATGTCGATGGTTTTTATATACGAAACTGGTGGAAGTGATGCTTGTGACTTTGCCTGCTGAGTGAAGAGTGTCAGCAATGATGTGACACCCAGTGTGACCCGCGCTGGCGCTATCTCCGGCTTTATCCAGAAGGATACCCACTGAGACAGAGGGAATGGAGTTATCACTCATGTTCCACAGGTCCGTATTTCACGGCTTATTAGACACATTTATTTTTCCATAAAATGTCTCCAAAAACCTCCCTGCGTCCTATAAACCGAAGGTCAGTGATGGGAGCTATAAGTTTGGGGTGTGGGGTGGGCTGTAGCTCTCCCAGTTACGCCTGATGCCGAGGCATTGAAACTAAAACAAGTCTTATAAGCCACGAAATACGGTATTTGATGTTTATCTGTGTGGGTTAGGCCAAGTTAGTGTTACATTCATCTTTAGCCAAGAAATAAAAATTATATTCATGTTAAAAAGAGGGTAAGTACAGTGGACCCCCGCTTAACGATCACCTCCAAATGCGACCAATTATGTAAGTGTATTTATGTAAGTGCGTTTGTACGTGTATGTTTGGGGGTCTGAAATGGACTAATCTACTTCACAATATTCCTTATGGGAAAAAATTCGGTCAGTACTGGCACCTGAACATACTACTGGAATGAAAAAAGTTCGTTAACCGGGGGTCCACTGTATTTTGCATTTGAATCTAATACCCGTAATATTTTAAAAATAATTCTTATGGTGTACTGTCACACAATGCCTATACAGTAGGACCCCCCATATCCACGTGAGATACATTCCGAGGACCTGCCATGGTTACTGAAACTGTGGATAGTAGCAGACCCTATACAGTATATAAGTCCTGTACAATAAGTAGAGAATTATCACCTTTTCACTAATGGGAAGCACTTCACAGCTCTCTTAGGCTTTGAAGAACTGCCAACTTCTCTACTTTTGCACTTTAAGGCTATTACAGTGGACCCCCGCATAACGATCACCTCCCAATGCGACCAATTATGTAAGTGTATTTATGTAAGTGCGTTTGTACTTGTATGTTTGGGGGTCTGAAATGGACTAATCTACTTCACAATATTCCTTATGGGAACAAATTCAGTCAGTACTGGCACCTGAACATACTTCTGGAGTGAAAAAATATCGTTAACCGGGGGTCCACTGTATTATACAAAATGAAGAAATATTTTTGAGCCACAGTAAACCATGGATTAATGAAGCCACGGATACCAAATCAATGGATACGGTGGTTCTACTGTTTTTATATGCTAGGACTAGTAGTTCGTAAGATTTAGAACTAGTATACCTGAAATGCTTCGCATGATAAATGGCTTTCCTATGAACGTACAAATCATGTGTTCTCATAATCATATTGAAACTGTAAAAAAAAAAAAAAACACAAACCCATCTAACTGCAAGTTCCATGCATGTTTTGAAAAAAATAATGGCTTGACTCTGAACATAAATACAGTTATCATACATTGTAACATATGTATACAGGTTAACCTCAAAAAAAGTCAAAGTGACTTATTTCCAATGGGGTCCTTGAAAACCTCTTGGTCAGCTGTGACACTTACCGACATAATAACGATGAGGCAGGTGGGAATGTAGGTGTGGAAGACGTAGTAGCCAAGACGTCGCTTCAGTCTAAACACCACCTCCAGGCAGGTGAAGTTGCCTGATAACCACATCCACCAGTACGGAGCCACAAAAATACACACTTTAGTTTATGGATATATAATCAAAGAGAAGACAGAGCTGGTGATTGATTTCAAATGTTCCTTTATTAATGCAGCCTGGCCTGAGGCTAGGCTTCCATACTGACTGCCTTGTCTGTATAAGTTGTATCATGTATTTGTAGAAATAAAAGATTATTATACTATTATTATTTACAAGGTAGTTGTTGTTATGGCACTTGCAAGCAGAGGCAGATAAAGGCATGGGTTTTAAGAGCTGGAAGCCCAGGGGCCATCGCTAGCTGAAGGGCCTCCAGACAGTTCTGAAGCCCAGGGGCCCCACAGTACCTGAAGCCCAGGGGCCCCACAGTACCTGAAGCCCAGGGGCCCCACAGTACCTGTAGCCCAGGGGCCTACAAAATCTTACTCTGGCTCTGCCTGCAAGAAATAGTAATTTAAATATCATCTATGTCATCTGTTGAGTAGTACAGTGGACCCCCGCTTAACGATCACCTCCAAACGCGACCAATTATGTAAGTGTATTTATGTAAGTGCGTTTGTACATGTATGTTTGGGGGTCTGAAATGGACTAATCTACTTCACAATATTCCTTAAGGGAACAAATTCGGTCAGTACTGGCACCTGAACATACTTCTGGAGTGAAAAAATATCGTTAACCGGGGGTCCACTGTATATCTATATTCTCCTCTACTTGCCTAGTTGGGTATGCTGGGGGTCGAGTCATAGGTCTTATTCCTGCCTCAACTCCAGTCATCGTGGTTTTGAAATTCCTGGTCTACAGAATTAGATCATACTTAAATTTGTGTTCACAAGGGTAGAGTAATAGCTCCAGGTCTTCCCTCTCGACATTCATCGACAGGCATTACTGATTCAGTGTCTTTAAAGCTGGATCATACCATCTCTTGAAACTCTGTACATTTAGTTCATCTGTCTCGCACTTAACACACGGAGATTCGAGCCTCCACCATGTCATGCACTGAGTGGCCCACATGGGCTTAGCACTTAACATGAATTATTAATTATTAACCTGCATGATCGGAACTAATCTTCCATTTTTTTTGGCTCATTTCTGCCTATTTCCCAGGTGAATGACCTCCACCCATATGTGTTTAGTGCTTCTTTGTGAATATAGCAATAATTACCTGTGGAGTAGACCTGGGTACAGTCTGAGGTGTAATTGAGGATGATGTCTTGCTGAGGCAGTTCTATGCTTTCGTCTACTGCAAGGGGCACCTCTGGATCCCACTCGAATACCAACTCTTCCGTCGTGTGGGATACTGTGTGGAAAGAGTGAGTGGGATATTGTAGGGGAGAGGGATATTGCTGGGGAGTGAGAGGGACATTGTAGGGGAGAGAGAGAGACATTGTAGGGGAGTGAGAGGGACATTGTAGGGGAGAGTGAGAGGGACAGTGTAGAGTAAGATGTTGTGGTGGAGTGAGAGGGACAGTGTAGGGAAGAGTGAGAGGGACAGTGTAGAGTAAGACGTTGTGGTGGAGTGAGAGGGACATTGTAGGGGAGAGTGAGAGGGACAGTGTAGAGTAAGACGTTGTGATGGAGTGAGAGGGACATTGTAGGGAAGAGTGAGAGGGACAGTGTAGAGTAAGACGTTGTGGTGGAGTGAGAGGGACAGTGTAGAGTAAGACGTTGTGGTGGAGTGAGAGGGACTGTAGGGAAGAGTGAGAGGGACATTGTAGGGGAGAGTGAGAGGGACAGTGTAGAGTATGATGTTGTGGTGGAGTGAGAGGGACAGTGTAGGGAAGAGTGAGAGGGACAGTGTAGAGTAAGACATTGTGGTGGAGTGAGAGGGACAGTGCAGAGTAAGACGTTGTGGTGGAGTGAGAGGGACATTGTAGGGAAGAGTGAGAGGGACATTGTAGGGGAGAGTGAGAGGGACAGTGTAGAGTAAGACGTTGTGGTGGAGTGAGAGGGACATTGTAGGGAAGAGTGAGAGGGACATTGTAAGGGAGAGTGAGAGGGACAGTGTAGAGTAAGACGTTGTGGTGGAGTGAGAGGGACATTGTAGGGGTGAGAGGGACAGTGTAGAGTAAGACGTTGTGGTGGAGTGAGAGGGACATTGTGGGGGTGAGAAGGACAGTGTAGAGTAAGACATTGTGGTGGAGTGAGTGGGACATTGTAGGGGTGAGAGGGACAATGTAGAGTAAGACGTTGTGGTGGAGTGAGAGGGACAGTGTAGAGTAAGACGTTGTGGTGGAGTGAGAGGGACAGTGTAGAGTAAGACGTTGTGGTGGAGTGAGAGGGACAGTGTAGAGTAAGACGTTGTGGTGGAGTAAGAGGGACATTGTAGGGGTGAGAGGGACAGTGTAGAGTAAGACGTTGTGGTGGAGTGAGAGGGACATTGTAGGGATGAGAGGGACAGTGTAGAGTAAGACGTTGTGGTGGAGTGAGAGGGACATTGTAGGGGTGAGAGGGACAGTGTAGAGTAAGACATTGTGGTGGAGTGAGAGGGACATTGTAGGGGTGAGAGGGACAGTGTAGAGTAAGACGTTGTGGTGGAGTGAGAGAGAAATATTTGGTTACTGATGGGTAAGTGGCAGGTATAATAGAGCAGCCTGGGGAAAATGGTGGGAATTGTTGACAATCCTGGGAGAAATTAAGGGAGGAATAGTTGGCAACTCTGTGTGAAAATAGAATAATTGACTAACTTGGGTTAAAATAGAATTGTTGGCAACCCTGGATGAAAATATACTGAATAGTTGGCAAGCCTGGATGAAAATATAGAGAACAGTTGGCAAGCCTGGATGAAAATATAGAGAACAGTTGGCAAGCCTGGATGAAAATATAGAGAACAGTTGGCAAGCCTGGATGAAAATATAGAGAACAGTTGGCAAGCCTGGATGAAAATATAGAGAACAGTTGGCAAGCCTGGATGAAAATATAGAGAACAGTTGGCAAGCCTGGATGAAAATATAGAGAACAGTTGGCAAGCCTGGATGAAAATATAGAGAGCAGTTGGCAAGCCTGGATGAAAATATAGAGAACAGTTGGCAAGCCTGGATGAAAATATAGAGAACAGTTGGCAAGCCTGGATGAAAATATAGAGAACAGTTGGCAAGCCTAGATGAAAATATAGAGAACAGTTGGCAAGCCTGGATGAAAATATAGAAAACAGTTGGCAAGCCTGGATGAAAATATAGAGAACAGTTGGCAAGCCTGGATGAAAATATAGAGAACAGTTGGCAAGCCTGGATGAAAATATAGAGAACAGTTGGCAAGCCTGGATGAAAATATAGAGAACAGTTGGCAAGCCTGGATGAAAATATAGAGAACAGTTGGCAAGCCTGGATGAAAATATAGAGAACAGTTGGCAAGCCTGGATGAAAATATAGAGAACAGTTGGCAAGCCTGGATGAAAATATAGAGAACAGTTGGCAAGCCTGGATGAAAATATAGAGAACAGTTGGCAAGCCTGGATGAAAATATAGAGAACAGTTGGCAAGCCTGGATGAAAATATAGAGAACAGTTGGCAAGCCTGGATGAAAATATAGAGAACAGTTGGCAAGCCTGGATGAAAATATAGAGAACAGTTGGCAAGCCTGGATGAAAATATAGAGAACAGTTGGCAAGCCTGGATGAAAATATAGAGAACAGTTGGCAAGCCTGGATGAAAATATAGAGAACAGTTGGCAAGCCTGGATGAAAATATAGAGAACAGTTGGCAAGCCTGGATGAAAATATAGAGAACAGTTGGCAAGCCTGGATGAAAATATAGAGAACAGTTGGCAAGCCTGGATGAAAATATAGAGAACAGTTGGCAAGCCTGGATGAAAATATAGAGAACAGTTGGCAAGCCTGGATGAAAATATAGAGAACAGTTGGCAAGCCTGGATGAAAATATAGAGAACAGTTGGCAAGCCTGGATGAAAATATAGAGAGCAGTTGGCAAGCCTGGATGAAAATATAGAGAACAGTTGGCAAGCCTGGATGAAAATATAGAGAACAGTTGGCAAGCCTGGATGAAAATATAGAGAACAGTTGGCAAGCCTAGATGAAAATATAGAGAACAGTTGGCAAGCCTGGATGAAAATATAGAGAACAGTTGGCAAGCCTGGATGAAAATATAGAGAACAGTTGGCAAGCCTGGATGAAAATATAGAGAACAGTTGGCAAGCCTGGATGAAAATATAGAGAACAGTTGGCAAGCCTGGATGAAAATATAGAGAACAGTTGGCAAGCCTGGATGAAAATATAGAGAACAGTTGGCAAGCCTGGATGAAAATATAGAGAACAGTTGGCAAGCCTGGATGAAAATATAGAGAACAGTTGGCAAGCCTGGATGAAAATATAGAGAACAGTTGGCAAGTCTGGATGAAAATATCGAGAACAGTTGGCAAGCCTGGATGAAAATATAGAGAACAATTGGCAAGCCTGGATGAAAATATAGAGAACAGTTGGCAAGCCTGGATGAAAATATAGAGAACAGTTGGCAAGCCTGGATGAAAATATAGAGAACAGTTGGCAAGCCTGGATGAAAATATAGAGAACAGTTGGCAAGCCTGGATGAAAATATAGAGAACAGTTGGCAAGCCTGGATGAAAATATAGAGAACAGTTGGCAAGCCTGGATGAAAATATAGAGAACAGTTGGCAAGCCTGGATGAAAATATAGAGAACAGTTGGCAAGCCTGGATGAAAATATAGAGAACAGTTGGCAAGCCTGGATGAAAATATAGAGAACAGTTGGCAAGCCTGGATGAAAATATAGAGAACAGTTGGCAAGCCTGGATGAAAATATAGAGAACAGTTGGCAAGCCTGGATGAAAATATAGAGAACAGTTGGCAAGCCTGGATGAAAATATAGAGAACAGTTGGCAAGCCTGCTATTCTTTGAGGATATCACAAATATCCGCCACAAAAAAATAATATAATTGCCTTTCTTTAGCCAACAAAAATATGAGCGTAGCTTCCCGCAGTATAAGTGCACCTGGCTGCCTGTAACTGCTCATTATTATTAAGCTCAAAATCAAGCGCTAAACCCACTAGGGTCATTATAAGTGGTTAAATAAAGTACTCACAGCTCTCCATCTGTAGTTTACATTCTTGAGTGTCATGGGGGTAGATGGCGAAGTTCATGGCACAGGAGAGTTTCAGCGTCAACCTGGCAATATATCACGGGTTTAGTGCTCGTTTTAAGTATATATAGAAATGGTTATAACTATGACCATTTCTAAAGTGGTGGAGGGGTAAGCCAGTGGAAGGTCTCGGTCAGATGACCAGAAGTTCCAGCTGTTGGTCATCATATGACTGTGTCAGGAAGCGTCCTGTTTCCTGACCAACCTTATCTAACCTTGTTTTAAGTAAGTTTGTTTAGACACAGGTACACATAAGTACAATTACGTAGATTTACGTACTTACAATTATCATACATAGTACATATGTATAAATTACCCCTCCAGGATAACCCAGAAATGTCAGGCGAAGTGACTTATAACCATTGTGGTCGTTGGCGAGGTCAGATTAGGTCATAAGTCTTGTGACGACTCACTACTGCAGCTTTTGGTCATCTGACCGAGGCCTTCCACTGGCTTACCCCTCCACCACTCTAAAAACTGGTTAATTGGTGAGGTGGCATTTACCACAGGTTATAATTGAGAGGACACGAGATGCTGAGGTAATTTGGGCACGTACAGAGAATGAAAAGGAACAGGATGAAGAAAGAGGGAATAGAAATCTAGGGTGGAAGGTTGTAGGGGAAGAGGTTGTGCCAGGAGATAAGCTTTTGAGTTTTAGTGGCTTGGGCATCCAGCAGGTTGTGTGTCATGTATAGGACACATTTGCAGCTCTAGTTTAATAACTATTATGTACCCCATACCCATCCTGTGGGTGGTAGTCAAAAGATTACAGAGGTACATAATGGGTCCAGGGACTGGGCACCAAAATGCAATATATTACTGCTGCAACATTTCGCTCTCCAGAAGTTTTGTCAAGCCTCTAAGGACTTGACAAAGTTCCTGGAGAGCGAAACGTTGCCACAGTAAGATGTCACATTAGTTGCACTTGTGTCATTTTATCTAATATATTGTAAGTAATTCTATCAACATTATTATGTGTGTTAATGAACGCAAATGGGTTTTAATGGATGTATTGCTGGAGTGTGAACAAAATAACTATTATGGAGAAATTCAGGGAAACCAGTTAGCTGGACTCGAATCCTGGAGGTGAAAAGGTGGATTCAGACTCACTGGGACAATAGATATGTTGCCAGATAGTTCAAGGGGAAATGGCAAGCCATCCATAATGAAATTTGTATTTATCTTAACCCACCAGCAGCCAACAAAAGCCTAGCCTCAAGTTGTATTTCTACACATTAAACGTAGCCATACCACTAAAATCCCCCCATTAAGGTTCCTTGACACCATTGAGGGGTTCTTGATCCAAGGATTAGGCTTCCACTTCCTTTAATCGAACCTAACTGCTTCGGGTTTATCACAGGCCTGGGGACAGTTGGTCCCAGAAGATGAGGCGGTACTTGTACCTCCTCCCATGGCAGACGTAGGTCTCACGACCCTCCCGGGTCACTATCAGGAAAAGACCCAGACTGGGACTGTTATCACTCCCCATGATTGCAATAATAATAATGATAATATACCTTTAACATTATCTTTTTAAGCATGGAATAGCAGTTAAGAGTGCTATTGTCTAATAAATGAAGCCAAGGGAAGTATGATAGCCAACAACTTGTCAAAAATGTTTTAAACAGTGATGTACGTGTTAGTATGCATTTTAATTCCATTTTTGGGGATTTAACTATTCCTGATTGGTGGTGAAGAAGCTGTGGCCAGGCCAGGAGCTGTAACTCGACCCATACAAGATACAGACAAGCACAGGTGACATGCAATCTTCATGACCCTCGTGTAGTCGGAGAGATTAAAGCAATTAACCAGGTGTTGTCAGGCGTCAGTCAGGTAATATTTGTCGAGGTAATACCTACCTCAGTCTGGTCATAACACCTGTGCAAGTAATACCTTCCCCACGCTAGGATATATATATACCCAGAGTTTAATCCATATTTTAGGTATTACCATATCCTTACCAAGTGGTGAACAGATGACATAATTACCTTTACGTAGCGATGTTTTAAAAGCAAATTAGTGAACCACATTTCCCCATGATAGTCTGTTTATAACATCTAAGGGGATAATATCTTCTCCAGAGTATATATGCACAAGTATATATATGTGGGTGATCATGCGTGTGTGTATATGTTCATGTGAAATACTCGTCTATTTACATATACAACTATAATATAGAATAAGAGTTCCCACTGTGTAACCATTATATTGAACAGGGTAGCTGCACACTGCTGATGTATCCAATTTTCTCAACAAAACGAACGCTGTAAAGGCTAATGGAACGACCAATTTAGTGTTAGTGCCACGAGTGCTTTATCAGTGGGTCTAAGTGGTTATGTCTATGTTTAGTGCCTAAGAGGGCACTCCACATTTTCCTGGATTTCGTGTGACGAACTAAGAGTGCCAAGCGTATGTGTTCCTTTGATATATCAGACATCAGTAGGCACCCCATATTTTCCTGGAATTCGTGTGACGAACTGGAAGTGCAAAGTGTGTAAGTTCTTAAGTGTTTAGTGCCTCGGTAGGCACCCCACATTTGCCTGGAATTCATGTGAATAATGTGTTTGACGAACTGGAAGTGCACAAGATCTCAAGTGGTTAGTCACTTTAGTGCCTCAGTAGGCACCCCACATTTGCCTGGAATTCATGTGAATAATGTGTGTGACGAACTGGAAGTGCACAAGATCTCAAGTGGTTAGCCACTTTAGTGCATCAGTGGGCACTCCACATACATATGACAAATAGCAATAAGAAAAAACTGACCTAAATTGATGTGGAACAGAGACTAGCCAAGTCACGAGACGACGACTTCTTGATTCGCCGGTAGTCTCCCGGTCCCGGTCTTTTCCAGATGGTGACCCGGCCTTGGCTCCCAGTCTTGGGAGTGTCTAAAACCTATGTCTCCCATGGGAGGAGGTACAAGTACCTCCTCATCTTCCGGGACCAACTGTCCCCAGGCCTAGCCCCATTCCTCACCCTCACGGGGCTCGTAGGGACAAGCTAGGCCTCTTCAAGATACTGAATCAACAACCACCATATCGTAGCTCACCAGTTTGCCAAACTTAAAGGTAAATCTATGCTAAGTATTCCTGCTAGGCTCGGCCATGTTACCCGAGTCTTGATACGCAATTCAGTTTTAACACAGTGAATGTACTTATATATTAATTAACAGAAGTTAACCTGTAAATTAATATTAACTAGCAAACAATAACTAAAATATAGTTTAACGAAAGAATAAGAAGTTAGTAAGGTAGATTTTATTATTTTTGTTAATAGTTGTAATGTTATTGCTATTATTATTGGGAAGTGCCAAACCCGTAAAGGTTATCCAGCTTCTGGAGGAGATAATCAGGGTTGATCCAAGGAAGGGGAGAGGAAGTACATTTCCCTGGATCAAGAGCCCTTCACCATCAGGGCACCGTACCTCTACCCCCACGAAGGGTCCTTATTAATGCCCAGGCCCGGTGGCCTGGTGGCTAAAGCTCCCGCTTCACACACGGAGGGCCCGGGTTCGATTCCCGGCGGGTGGAAACATTCGACACGTTTCCTTACACCTGTTGTCCTGTTCACCTAGCAGCAAATAGGTACCTGGGTGTTAGTCGACTGGTGTGGGTCGCATCCTGGGGGACAAGATTAAGGACCCCAATGGAAATAAGTTAGACAGTCCTCGATGACGCACTGACTTTCTTGGGTTATCCTGGGTTGCTAACCCACCGGGGTTAAAAATCCGAACGAAATCTTATCTTATCTTATCTTAGCATCCCGCCTGTGACCCGGCCTCCAGATAGTCCCTGCGTGATCACCCGTTTGGGTTTAAAGCTTTCCGCTGGCTATAAGAATAAAGCAGGAGTAAGAATTACGACACAAGAGAAAGTAAAGTGTATAGCAGATTTAGGTAGGTTGAAAGCAGTACTGGGCACAGTTCCGCTAATTAGCGGAACTAACTTTTTAGTTAGCGGATTAGAGAAGCTAACTTTTCGGTTAGCTGTGCCCACCACTGGTTGAAAGCTTATCAACTACACGAGCTCTTTAGTGTGTGTGTATGTGTGTATATATACACATACATATATACATTGAGACATATATACTTCCATATACATGCACTGTTCCTTTTAGTGCACACACGATTCAAGAGAAATAGGGGCTAAAGCCCCCCTTCCCCCCAGATCGAAATATTTTATTTTCAATTACTGACTAATTTTCAGTATATTGACCAGTGACTACTAACCGACCATAGTTGAAAACATTTTACAAATTGACACCATGTATATAATAATGATGTCTCTAACAGTTTTTCAAGATATATTGAAACAAAAAATTATAGTCGTGGCAACTGCAGCGGTAGTTATAGTGAGGATGTTGCCAGCTTGAAAAAAAAAAATCTTTTTGATCCATGGAGACATTTCTCAGGTAGGCAGGAATGGCGGCAGACGTGTGTTATCAGAGTTTTGGTCCTCCCCCACCGCCTCTCCACCCCCCCCCCTCTTCACGCCCTCCCTTCCCCTCTCATTATTTCACCCTCTTTCTCCTCTTCAAATCTGCTTTGGCAAACTTTATTGAACAAGAGTTTCGTGGAACAAGAGAGGCATTGAGAGAAGCTGACGTGGGAGTAAAGTATATACCTAGTCAGCTTTCTTTTGAGGAAGGGGGTCGGCCCCTTGGAGGAGAAGGGGGTCGGCCCCTTGGAGGAGAACGGGGTCGGCCCCTTGGAGGAGAAGGGGGTCGGCCCCTTGGAGGAGAACGGGGTCGGCCCCTTGGAGGAGAAGGGGGTCGGCCCCTTGGAGGAGAAGGGGGTCGGCCCCTTGGAGGAGAAGGGGGTCGGCCCCTTGGAGGAGAAGGGGGTCGGCCCCTTGGAGGAGAAGGGGGTCAGCCCGTTGGAGGAGAAGGGGGTCAGCCCGTTGGAGGAGAAGGGGGTCCACCCCTTGGAGGAGAAGGGGGTCTGCCCCTTGGAGGAGAAGGGGGTCGGCCCCTTGGAGGAGAAGGGGGTCGGCCCCTTGGTAGAGAAGGGGGCCGGCCCCTTGGAGGA